ACTCACTCTTCAATTTACATTGAAGCAACCAAGCAACCAAGCAACTTTAAGCAGTAAACGTTGGCTTAACGGGGGTTCCAGCTCCCAAATCGTGAACACGTCACAAAGTTAACTTTAGTAATCTATCGTGCAAATACGATGAGGACTCGTAGCAGCCGATCGAACCCCCAAGTTGGTCAAAGAGCCGCGACTGCTGAAACGACCGCTACTACGAACAGTGGCGACACAAGCGTTAACGCGGCGGCCACAGTTCCAGTGTCATCGATGTACCGTACGTGACGGATGTATCCCACGCCGTCCTCGCGAAGTGGAAGCGTGAGCGACAGGAGTACGAGGTGGCTATTGAGGCGCGTTGCAGTGTAACAGTCGAAGACAACGAGAAAGCGCTACGAAGCGTAAAAAACTCGTTCAACCGGCAATTACTCAGCACGTTGTGCAGACTTGAATGGGGTACGGCTGTGGAGGAGGTCACTGATGATCGGATTAATGCAGAGTTGGACAAGATTGTCGGAAACGTCATGAATGACGCGATCCTCGACGTTGATGCAATTTTCGATGACGAACTGAAGATGAACCTACGTGAGCGTGATGTGAAAGCTCGCGTGATCAGCTACTTCATGCGCTGCGATGAGATCATATTGCAGCACGGTATGGCAAGTATCTTCTCCACTGAGACAGGGAAGAAAGAGAAGTGTAATATTCTCAGGAAACATCTCGAGCCTGCTGCGTTGCGTGAGGCTGTGGATACACACCTACGCATCGTGGATGCAAGCAGCAAATCGGATGAGAGTGCACTTTACATGCTGGTAAAGGAGAAAGTACTGGAGCAAGAACGAGTGCATCAGCTGCTGGCCAAACGCAGACATCAACCGAGTACTCCGCACAATACTGGGAAAACAAAGAGTGATGGTGACCAGTGGTCACGTCATGGCAACCAGCGTACTAGCTCCGACCGGAAGGTTGAAAAAGCCTCCGAACGTCCATGATCTGTGCAAATACAGACCAAATCAGCAACAGCGCCTCAGAGCAAGCCGCGGAAAGGCTGTTTTCACTGTGGCAAGGACCACTGGCTCAGTCAGTGCCCGGACCTTGATGAGGCTGCGAAAGAAGCCATTCTGGCCGAAAGGAAAAGCAAGAGAGGTGTCAACAACGACAAAAACAAGAAATTGCGCTCGAAGCGCGTCGATGCACCTTCTACGACGAACAACGTGAGCTGCCCTACGGTAGTGATCAACGGATCACTGGAGTTGTCGTATTGCGCCGACAGCGGCTCGGATATGAACATCATTTCGCGAAAGCACGTCGATCTGCTCCGCGAACAGGATACGGCTGTTGTGCTAGTCGAATTGGATGCACCAATCACTTTGAGGGTTATTGATGGAGCTTTGCTCACCTCAACGCATACAGTTGAAGTCCGACGGACGCTTAATACTGCAGCAGGTCCTGTGAGATGCCAAGATGCAAAAAAAAAAAAGTGTTTGATTGTCGAGACCGACGAAGATGAATTTATAGTTGGTATCTGTTGCTGGCCGAGCTCGGTATCGATGTGGACCGCCAATTGGAGTATCTGGGTACTCTTGGAATATGATGATTCGTGTGGTGATCCTGAAGGAATGCCGCCATGTAAACCTGCAGTTGGTGGCGTTGTGGTGAAAGTTGTCTATGTGTTAGTGCGTGACGCTATGCATCGTGGTGTGATAGGCGAGTACACAACTAGTCGCTTGTATGAGGTGGTCCGAAAGTATGGTGGATGGCGTTTAGAGCTTATGGATGACCCCCCCCCCCCCTCGTGTACCCCCACTGAAGATCAGGTTGAGACCAGGTGGGACACCATATCGGTGTAAAGTTCGACAGTAAAGCCCGGAGAAGTATGAGTTTAAGGCAGAGTTCAACAAGAAGCTCGTGTCACTCGGTTGGGTATACGAAAATCGTGAGAGCCGTTAGTGTTGCCCTGCCTTACCTGTGACGAAGCCAAACATCAGTAAATTCAGACAAATCCTGGATTCCCGACCTACAAATGCTGTGACTGAACCGATTGCTGGCGTAATGCCAAGCCTTGCGGTGGCCCTCGAACACTGCAAAGGGAAAATGTTTTACGCGGTGTTTGACTTCTTAAAGGGGTTCTGGCAGCTACCCTTGGACAAGAGTTGTCAGGAAATCCTCTTTTACATGACAGACCGAGGTGTTTTCACACCAACACGAGTACCGCAGGGTAGTATGGACGCTGCACTTTCAGTCAACAGTGGAAATGGTATTGGGCGATCTGGTGAACAAGAGTGTTACAGTGTGGATTGAGGATTTGTTGGTTTTCGCTGAC